CATAACATATGCTAAAACTAATGCAGCAGATCTTGATATACCAGCATTTCCATGAACTAAAACTTGGCCACCAGAATTTAAACCTTCATCAATAAAAGCTTTTACCTTTGGAAAATGTTGGATAATATTTTCTGTTGCTGTATCAGCAATATTTAAAACAAGATATCTATAAAATTCATTATTAGCAGGTATACCATAAACAATAATTATTTCTAAGAATATGAATTAATCAGTTTTATATTACATACTTAAATTTATCAGGGAAATTGGGTTTTATAAAATTTGCTTCTATATCCTGTCTAACGCATACTATATGAGTTATGCCATGTTCTATCAAAGATTGTAATTTTGATCGGCTAGCTGCACTATATGGACCAAGATATAATCCAGGTACCACTTCCTAACATAAGGTAACTATTGATTCAAACAATATATTTTCTAAATATCTTTTAATAAAATATATCCGTCCAATATACCTGCATATGTCTTCTCATTGTATAAGTCCATTCTTTTGGTCCATCCATAGAGACAGGTATTCTTGGATAATCATCAGATCCATTTTCGCTAGTGGTTTCCTATAGAATATTTATATTTCAGCCTATTATATTAAATTATTAGAAAAATTATAAAATATTTAAGGAAGGGTAATATTATTAATAACTAAAAATACATTATAAATAATATTTATTTTCAATTTAACATAAATTTCAATCTAAAAGTATAAAGAAACAAAAAAGATATGACATATCGTTGAACTTGAACACCTTTTTATAAGTATAGTAAAATAATGGATAAATTGCGTCTTTGGAAATATGTATAAAGAAAAAATGTCAATGACAGATAATATAACCTAAAATTCAAAGAATACATTTTTTATAATACTTTAAAATCGATTACGAATTGCATACCTCATCCTGATGAGATTCATTATTATCTAGAGAAAGCATACCACTAATCTTGTGAACTTAAATGCGTAGAAACGTTGAATTTAGATAAGAAAATGAGAAATACAATATTTTCTTTCCCGCGATCACGATATTGTTTTTTGAGGTAGCGGCCATTTGTAATATAGTAAGCTACGAAAGCGTTCTCTAGTGTAGAATATCTAAAATATAAATCTTGATGATTTTTTATAAATTTTAAGAAAGAAAAATTTCAGAATCATTGAAATCCATGTATAAAATAAATTATAGACATTAAAATATAATTAAAATAATAATTTTTATTATCTTAAAAGAATTCAAAGAAATTGCATTTTAAAATGAATGTCACTTTATTCGGTGATAACTTCCGGAAGCGTAAGAATTGATTTTAATATTTAAACTAAATCGAATATTATATCGAAATATTATATTAATTTATTGAATAATTTTATTTTATTATTATTACTAATAATAAAATCATATAAAAAATTTCATCTGTTTTCAATGTTTCAACAACAAAAACAAAAAATGTTTCTTATAATAATATTTATAAAAAAAATTGAATGATTATTCTTTAATTTTAATATTGCGAGATAGAAGTTCATAGTAAGAAAATAGCACAAATAGTATATTTTAATAGCGATATCGTTAACCAAATTGCGTAGCCAAAAGATTTCCCGTTTCACAAAGAAAAGAGAAACGGTACACTTTCGATCACGAGTCGAACGGTGCAATTTAGTTACGAACTGTTTAATACAAAGTTTTACGAGGCACCAATTCCCTGTTGCGGTAACCTGCACGTATTTTCTTCCGGGACGTAATACAATATTTTATAACTATCGCCACGCTTTCGCGATGAAAGTTCATGCATGCGGTGGCATCAGTTCGTAATTTTGCGTGCGTGCTTCATGTCATGCGTTTTACCGGAACAGCTGATAGATTTCTTAGACGCATCAATGCCCGAACTTTCGCGCAAAATAGTCATTAGCACAAGTTATTAATTGCTAGATGTGTAAATCTTACTAGCAATACGCGCAAATCTTCATTTTTTGATTTATTATTATTTATTAACTTCCTGTCTTGAAATTATAGTTTAAGCAATTTTTGTTTACATCATTTATATGTTTTAATTAAATGCTTTCAGCTGTCTTGATTTGATGGACTTATTATTAAATCAAAGATATTCAACGTGATCATTGTCACGAAATATATTGCAAATTCATACTGTCGTATAGAGAAGATGGCAGAAACATAGAATATTCTCTAAGTTTTTAAAAGTTAACTGTTATAATAAATTGGAGATAATTTTCATACAATGGAAGAGTTCATTTATCAGTTTTT